GAGAGAATGTTTTTCGGTCAATAGCAGGCCGACAGACAAGGGAGTAGAAATCAGTGTTCCACACAAAGATTTATACAACCTTGAAGCGACGAAAGTCGGGTATATGTCAGCCACAGAAAGACTTGTAGACTAGTGTGTACGGTACGATGACCTGAGGGTCACAGCTGCAAAGAAACTACAACATAGTTACCCCAGCCATTTTTCAGCTTACAACCGCGATGGTAAGCTAAGCCTAACATTTTGGGCTTGCCGCCAAATTTTTCCGAAAATGTTAAACGATTTCTCCACGCCTCGAGTTTGAGGAGTTGTACTCGAGCTCGAACACGTGGGAAACTTAGACGAGTCTCACGTTGATCCAAGTTGACACGTGAGGTAGTACCTACGGCCACCTTGTGGCGGAAGGTACGCTAGTTAGAGAGCCGAGAAGTAGGCCTCTTTAAGTCCAGGAGTGTCGCCATAGCTAGAGTGATACCGCTAAAAGAATAGATGAGTTTCTTTTGAGCTTCTTTTGAAGTTTCTAAGTATAGTTTCTAAAAGTTTTGTATTGGATTTTATTTAAGACACGTAGTGAATTTTAGTGAACTGCCATGGCGAACCAGTACCAGTGAGACAGGTTTTATGATCGGAGCAGACCTATACAGTATCCAGATAGGAACACTCAGTTCTCGAACTTGAGATAACAGTGTATAATAGTCAAAAGTCGGGTAAATTATGGAGGCTTGAAATAAGAGTCACTAGTACGGATTTACCTGGGGGCTTGAAACCGGAGTTGCCATGGCAAAGCCAAGATCATTAGTAAGAAGAAGACTGAAGTCAAAGCTAGCTATCCAGATTTCCAGTTCTGATTAGTACTATCGTATTATGTATTTTTCAGTTTCTAGTTTTAGTCGAGTTGGCCTTATGTTTAGTTTTGTCATTTCCGGGGACGGAAATGTTTTAAGGAGGATAGATTGTAACACCCCGGACTAAAATTATATTAGTAGCTCGACTTAATTATCGAAATTAGTATTATTTTAATTATGCAGAGAATTATTATAGTTAATTGCATAATTTATTTATTATTAAGCCCAAGTAGTATTTTTAATAATCGAGCCTAGTAGCAATTATTTATCCGAGCACAAGTCGTTAAAATCGAGCCCAATCTATTAGGCCCGATTTCTAAGCCCAAAACCCTAAGCTACCCACCCTCCTATAAATAGAATGTCCCCATGTCTCCCAACACACCTACAAAAAAACCCTAGCCCCCAAGTTACTATTCATCCATCTTCACCACCTCCATTGAAGCTTAAAACACCACCTTCCATTTCAAGATCTAGTCCAAAAAAATCAACATTTTGTCTTAGCTTGTTCAAGGAAATGAGCTTTATTCCTCCAACCACCATGGCTTGATCGTTTTCCGGAGAGCTCCCAATTTTCCGGCCAAACCCTAGCCCCCCCAAATTCCCGAGCAGCTCACGCACCAAAACCCGCAGCTCAAGCCCGCAGCAAGCCCTTGCCGCCGCCTCCACCCGTTTTTCCAGCGAGCTCACGTCGCCCCCAGCTCAGCTCCGCCGCGTCGCTTCAACCAGGCCCTCCACGCGAACCAGAACCGAGCTCCCCGCGACTGAACATCCCGACCTCAGTCCGCACCTTCACGCCACCTCGCAGCAAGCTCGTCCCAGCCACGCGCCGCCGTCTCCTCCAGATCCGGCGACCAACAACCCTTCTCACGGCCCCGTTCTCAGCAGTTTCCGGCAAGATTTCACATCTCAGCCGCGACCCGAACCTCCATCCCGACGAGCAGATCTCCTCCACACGGCCCGCGTCCCGACGAGCAAATCTCCTCCACGCGAACCAGCCATCTCCGGCGACCTCACTTCTGCCGGCAAGTAGCTCGTCTCCTGTCGCGCGGGTCCAGCAGTGAACAAGCCACCACGAGCCCAGCGGCGAACCACACCCGACCAACAGCACTCTCGGCCATTTCTAGCTCACCCGCGACCCGGTTCCAACCCCTACCCGCACCGAACCGCGCCCAGTGCCTCAGATCTGTTTCAGCGCACCTCAAACCCGACCCAGCAGTCCAGATCCGTGAGAACCGACCCGGTTGCTGCCCACAGCCCCAAAAATCCGGTCCAAGCAGCCCCTAGTTGGACCGGTCCGACCTGACCGGATTCTTGCTCCATTTTTCTTCCATTTCCCTAGCCCGATCCGTTCTTTTTCGAGCATTTGAGGTATAACGGCTAAAGCTTGATATATATGGAATAATTTGATAATATATATGAGATAAAATAAATGAGATGTTGATTTGAGTTGATTTTGGAAAAATCGGTACATAGGAGCTTAAAGCGAATAAATTGATATTTTTCGATAAACGCGTTAAAATGTCGAAATAAATATGATAAATCCTGATTAGCTGACTTGAGGCCTAGGTTTTAATTTTGTGATTTTTTGTGCCCGTTTAGTATGTTAACTGGATTCTTTGAATATGTAGCTGAAATGCCCGATTTTTGATAAATATGATAAAGACCTCGAAATTTGATGCAACTATCACGAAAAATCTTATAAATGCTGAGTATGACGTGGTTTAAATTTCATAATTTTTAGAGGTTGTTTGGTATGCCTACAATTCGGAACTTTAGCTGCTTTGGTGAAAACTAGAATTTATCCGGTTGAGATTTAGCTAAAATCACTAGAAATCACGTTGAACTTAGAGTTTGAGTTTCGACTTGAACCGATATAGATAGCCGGTTGAGTAGAGAACCCTAGTTCGGCCTTTTCCCGGTCAGTTCGGATGAACTCTGGATCCGGGTAGAAAAATTGTGCGTTGGTTGACGCCGTGTCCGTGCGTATGTACCCGGACCACGGTTAGACTGAGTTGCACCAAGTCAGACGAGCACCCGACCGGCTCAGGTCCAGCCGCCGGTCCAGTTTAGCTGAATCGACCCGGATAGTCTGGACGATTCAAGAATAGCAGTTCGGAATATCGGTTTGAGCGTGAACCGAGTTTTAATATCTTTCCAAACCCAGTCAGATAAGTCAGAACAGTATAAGCTAGTTCAAATAAAATCAGATAAGTCAGAACAGTATAAGCTAGTTCAGATAAAATCAGATCAGTCAGATAAGCTAGATCAGATAAATCAGTTAAGCAGACCAGACTTAGAAATATTTCAGAGAACTCTAGAACGCCTCAAGTCAACAAATCTTTCCAAAATAGCTCAAATCCTCTAAATTCATATTAAATGATCAAGCGAGAGAACCTAGTAAAATCAGATAATAAAAAAAATCAAGTTTTCAGTTTGAGCTTAGTACTTAGTACATTTTGCTCAAATATTTATGTAGCTTAAGGAGAGTCGAGCCTCCGACAGCTACCAGTCAGTCAGCACTTGCCTAGCAGTAGCAGCTTAACAGGTGGGGGTCACGTACTGGTTATACATCATCTTTAATTTCCGTACCATGTCCGAGGTATGTATGAGAAATAGTTAGTTCATCATGAGGGAGGCCGTGGCGGGCCTTAATGATCCCCCGTGATTCTGAGGGAGGCCTTAATTGGCCTTAATGATCCCCCGGAGTGTGCACATGATTGGCTTTTAAGCCCAGGGTCTTTACGACCACCAGATGCCCTAGTTACAGTTTCAGTTCAGATCAGTTCTTATATACTTAAAGTCATGATATTGTTATTAATGATGTTATATAATTAAGTACTGGTCTTTGCGGAGCATAGTGGTTTTGTTCACGCCCCCACTACGTTTTTCAGGTGACGGAGCGGCGCGTGGCGCGTGAGATTTCAGTGGTGGTCATGGTCATTAGCAGTCTTTTTGTAACACATCTGCATGTCATTTATTGAACATGTACTATCATTACTATGCGTAGACATATTATGTTTCAGCTTCCGCACATTTCAGACTTAGTATGTATTATGAGATTATCAGACTTATGCATGTATAATGCCTTTATCTCTGTGGTACCTTTATATAACGGATTTGATTAGGTTGCATGTATTTATTACGTCTGCATGAGAAAGAGTAAGTTAGTAGCATCCCGCAAGTTAGTATGAGTATTTTCGAAAATAAAGTTTAAGAGTTTTTCGAAAATAAAAAGCAAAAATTTTACTCTGATTTTATAAATTCTAGAAATAATTAGGCGGGGTGTTACAGTATATCTGCCACCACCAGCTTTTGTAGGAGTCATGTTGTTGGGGTCCTTCCCATGTCACTGGTGATATTTTCCAGACCCTTTTGGCTTGCTCACAATAGAACAACACATGTTCAATACTTTCCCTATCTTCACCGCAGATGCTACACATTGAATCCACTTCCATCGCCCTAACCGGCAATGACCGAATACTTTCCCTATCTTCACCGCAGATGCTACACATTCAAGATGCTACACATTGAATACTTTCCCAGATTCATACTGACTGGCAATGACCCTGTGCAACATTTCCATATAAAATGCTTCACCTTACCTATAATTTTCATGCTCTAGCTTCTCCTTCTCACCTTAATATTCACTCTTTTTTGTTTCATAACAATTTTTTTTTTCTTAATGTATTAAAAATTAAAAAGATACAATTATTATTGTTCCATAACAAAATTGGCTTTCTTAATGTATAAAAAAATTACAATTAGTGCATGCAACATTTATTAGACAAAAAAAAAAAAAAGGCTTATCGAATGCTTGGAATTTTATCTTCAAGTCAAAGGTGAGCATCTTATTGGCACTATGACATCAAAGAAAATTCAAGCATGCAATGATGCATCTTTTCAACGGCTTCACCTAGGAAATGAATTGACATGTGATTAAGCAAAAAACCATATAACAAGTCGTCGGGTGTATTCATTTAAGAATTTTTAGTATTATGGAATTTTTATTGTATTTAATTTAGACATTTAAAAGTCTTGAGATATTCATTTGCTATTTTAAAAAAAAATTACAAAATCTTGAAGAATTTAACTTATTTGAGACTATGATTTGGTAAGACGTTCTAAGATTTCTAAAGAAAAAATAAAATATACAAAATCTCTTGAGATTTCACAAAATTCTTCCTGAATATGAAATTCTTAAAAAGTTTCAAAATCTCAAAATGTCACTGAAAATCTCAACTAATACACCCCTTAGTCTCTTAGTTTGGCCTGCTCATTCTAGAGTAAAATTTATCATCTCAAAAGAAAAAACCAATCTCGAGACATTAGAGGGGGTGTATTTAATTGGGATTTATAAAGACTTTTAAAAACTTTTTAGGACTTTAGAAATCCTGGTGTATTTAATTTAGATTTCTCAAGACTTTTAAAAGTCTTGAGGTATTCAATTAGGATTTTAAAAAGTCTTACGAAATCCAGGTGTATTTAACTAATTTAAGGTTAGGATTTATAAGGACTTTTTAAGATTTGCTGGGATTTCTAAAGAAAAAAACATGTTGGAGATCTCACTACAAATCCCACCTTTAGACTTGATATTTTATAGGATTCTTTTAAAATCTGAAAATCCTCAAAAATCTTAAATCTTAAAGTCTTTAAATGTTACTCGAATTCCGAAACGAATACACCTAGATTTCGTATGATTCATCTTAAATCAGAAAATTTTAAAAAATTTCAAATTTCTTAAAATGTCACTCAACATTCCAAACAAACTCCTCACCCTCAAATACTTCATGAATGCGACTTTAGATTTAAGAAACGTGGTGGCAACTAGTTAAATTTTTACTGGCCCAATGGCTATAAATAAGATTGCACGACATTTTTGAGGTCATCGGTATACACTACACAGTACTGATCACCTACCCACGGTGGGCACATGTTAATATGTCCACCGCTTATGTGGCATACACACATTGGTGATATATTTTTTTTAGCATATTAACATCACCAATGTACGCATGCCACATAAGCGGTGAGCATATTAATATGTGCCCACCGTGGGTAGGTGATCATTACTGATACACTACATAACTATGTCTTCAGGCGGGCTAACAGTTTTGAGGCCAAATCCACAAATGTTAGATGACATTAGAAAAACTTTTTGTCATGGTCCAACCCATACCAAACTTTATGCAGGAAGCTTGTAAGATAGGTACCTGCTTTCGCAAGGTATAATATATAGAAAAATGTCTGCACAAGTTTTGCAGAGCCTATTCGCACGCATAGAAAATCGAGCATCGTACTGAAACGTATTCTGTAAGAGGATGTAAACATATTCTCACGAAAGGTTTCAAGGGGCATCCAAACATAAATACTCGAGAAAATAAGGCGAATATCTTGATGCAGGACTGAAAATTCAACACTGAGAATTCCAAATAGATCCTTGAAATTACGCAAATTTGATGGACAATCATTAGTGGCCACAAGAACAAAGACTTAACTCAAGTGCGAATCAAGCAATCCATATCGATATAACCATGTATGTTTCACGAGCTATAATGCATAATGTGATTGCTTCTAGAAGTTACTCGAAATATAAACCAACATAACACTATTATTGACCTTCATCCATTGCATCACTGCCTTGATGAGCCTGAGGTTTTGAATCGTTGCCACCTGGCGCTGACTCTCCATGTTCAGATGTGGCAGCAACAGAATCTTCAAGGGCTTCGAGAAAAGACGGAACAGTGAACTTGTCTGAGAGAAAGTCAAGAAATTAAGTCAATTGTCATCATACAGACATTATTATACGATTACAAATAAAGCCAGATGCTGAATCTTGAAATATTGATCTAAGCACTGCTAATAATGAGCGACAAATTTCTGCAGCAAATTAGAACCGATGCTGCTCGTTTATGTATATAAGAGATGAACGTCAAATATTGTAATTTAACTCGTTGAATTCCCGGTTTAATAAAAAGCAGTTTAGTTCTAGCCATGGCTGAAGTAAAATTTTGCACTACTTACATTTACTTGGATCAATACCAAACTGAGTCAGATCTACCTGTCCAGTACGCAGGACCTAAAAATAAAAATAAATGAACAAAACGAGCCAAAACACATTTAAAAAGGTAGCAAAAAAAAAAAAAAATGATATATATCATAGGGTGTGGAGGCTTACATAAGTAAATGAATCTAATTGTTGGCGAAATGGCGGACTTTGTAATAACTCTATTAACGCCTCAGAAGTCCACTCACCCTGTAACCACAAGAGATTTGGAAATTAGCATATATAAACTTTGTATATATGAGGAAATCATAAGACATTTATAGGAATTAAATTAATTACCTCAGGTAAATAGGACTCTAATTGCTGATGTAAAGGTAACTCGTGAGCAAGAGGCAGCACAAATTCTGGCTTCAAAATATCACCAAGTCCCAAGCCTATATAACCAGGCAAACAGAACGTTAGAATAAAGAGAATATCATCACATAACACCAGTTGGATGGTCTAGTGGTGACATCTTGATTTAACTCAGAGCAAGATTTAATTTCTACAATAATGCAAGTCCCAGTGATTTCGACCTTGAGAATTCTAAGTGCAAGTCTTCAAAAAGAAATTCAGCAAACATATCAGCCAAATAAATGTCTAGCACAAAGACTACAAGAATTCTGCACTACAAGGTCACAGATAACATGAAAATCTATCATCGATAGAGCACACAATAGTACTGTACAATACACATTAACGTTAAGAAAATATAGTACCTGCATCTGGGTCACCAGGTTCATCTGCACCAGAAAACAGGATATATCAGTTTTCACCGGACAGGAAATGAGGAGTACTTTAGCGCTGACAAATGACAATGGAAATTAATACAGCAAAAGGTCAAGAATACCCGCAGAACCAATGTTGCTTAATATTCGCTGCAGATCAGACAGCTTAACAGGTCCAGCAGATGTTACATCACTAGTAGCTTCAGCGCCCATGCTCGGGCCAACCAAATTTCCAGCCCTGAAAAAGTAGAAACCAAGGACAATTGGACGATTTTTTTTACAAATTTCATAAAAACACATGAAATCAGATGATGTTATATATTCTTTATTACGAATTCATGTTTCTAATAGCAATAAAAGAACCAATACGAAATAAATTACGTTGAAAACCAATTAAGAAGTATGGTGCTTAGGTCTGCCTTGTATTCAATTTAATATGATTACTTGTAGCTCTTATCAATGCTCCCCATCATGGGTCAGGATCTATGTATTACTACCTAGATGAAATATCGTCGCCAACTGTATCTTCTGAGCTTTCTACAGGAACTGAAGCATCAGGTTCTTCTTCTCCAGGTAACTCTGATTAGCATCATCAATTAATTAATAATATATATATATATATATATAT